AAAAAAAAAAAAAAATAAAAAAAAAAAAAAAAAAAGATGGATGATGGATTGGGTAGATGGATGATGGGTTGGGTAGATGGATGGATGAGTGGGTAGACGGCTGATGGGTTGGGTAGGTGGCTGTTGAGTTGGGTAGATGGATGATGGATTGGACAGATGGATGACGGGTTGGGTAGATGGATGGATGAGTGGGTAGTTGGGTGGGTAGATGGCTGATGGGTAGGGTAGATGGTTGATGGGTTGATGGGTTGGGTAGATGGATGGATGAGTGGGTAGATAGATGATGAGTTGGGTAGATGGATGATGGGTTGGGTAGATGGATGGATGAGTGGGTAGATGGGTGGGTGGGTAGATGATGAGTTGGGTGGATGGATGAGTAGGTGGGTAGGTTGTCAGGTTCAGGGATAGCGTCTGTGGAGAGGAGAGGGGAGATAGAGTGAGGGCTGTGAGTAGAGACTCCTGGTCCCCCCTGGAATTCAGCAGGGCCCTACAGGGAGGAAATGGTGTCCCTGTTTCCTGAACAAAATCTAGAGGTCCCCTTAAGGTGGGAGAGGCTCCACCAGCCCCATATGTGCCCCCTAGAGTCCCCTTCTCTCACCGTGGGCCCAGTCCCCCTCTGTGACACACCCCCCTCAAGGGCTGTGGGCAGAGCTGCTTAACTGGGGGGTGGGGCTTTCCCACTACCCTCCCTGCCCAGGACCTGTTGGGAGGCAGCTGTTTCTTCCTAAGTGAAGTTTCCATCCGTACAAGTATCTCCCCATTTGGCTGCTCTAAGTCGTACCCTTTCCCCACCACAATTTCAAATATGGAAAATGACAACACCGTTTCCCAAAAGCATTGGCTTGTTGCCGCTGACTCGGGCACCTAGCAGTTCCGCGAAGCAGAAGCTCGGCTGCTTCGAGCAAGGGCACTGTACACAAGCTTGCGTACAGAAGCCAGGTGTCTCTGCACACCGGCAATGGCCAGTTAGAAACTGTAACAGGAAAACTGAGCCCTTTCCCAGTGGCAGCTGATGAGGAAGGCCCTGGGAGTGAGGGTTAGTGAAAGACGGGGCTTCCACACGGAAACCCTGGGCTTGACGGAGGCCACATTGGGTGGAGTCAGGCCAGCTCGTGTCCAAACCTCAGTGTCCTCATCTACAAAGTGGGTGCAATTACATTTGCCCTGTGAAGATCAAAGTGTACATTCGTGCATTCCCTCTTCCCAGGGGGCGTGTTGGGGGTCTCCTGACCTGCACTGGGTGTGGGGGACATGGTGATGGTTGATGCAGGCCCTGCCCTCCTGGGGCTATGGGCTAGACTAAGGCAGCAATCAGGGAAAGCTGCCTGGAGGAAGAGGCACGTGATTCTCAAGAGTAGCCAGAGTCGGCCCTGCTGGGGTGGAGAGAGGGCTCCGGGCAGAGGGGACAGCAGTCATCCAGGGAGCCCTGTGTGGTCCCTGGTGGCTGGGCTGGGAGAGCTAGGCCTGCTGCCCTCTCCACTGACCCCCGTTCCCTTTCCTCATGTGTCCTGAGCATGCCCCGGCTCACAGGCCGCTCCTCAGAGACCCCCGACCGCCCTGCCTAGGGGTTTCCTTGCCACTCTTTCCTTTCGCCCTGAGTTACTGCCTCCGGCAGTCCTACTCCCCCACCCCACACAGGGGTGTAATTTATCTCTTATCGTGTCTGTAGTCTGTCTTCTCAACTAGCACATAAGTTCCTGTCACGGCCCCAGTGTCTGGAAGAGTACCTGACGCGTCGTAGGTGCTCGATAGAATGTTTCAGAATGATGGAATGAATGAATGAATGAATGAGCGAATGAATGGGGTAGGTAAGGCCCTGCCACACAGGGTCTCCCAGGACCTGGTCAGGAGGGTGGGTCTATTCTGGGAGCTGTGAGGACTCATCAGGGGTCTCGGAGTGCAGGAGTGACCGTGCCGCGGCCTCCTGGGCCCCCAGGAGCCTGAGCCCTCTCTCCTCCCCCAGGTCCACATCCACCTCCTCGCCCGTCCGCCCAGCCGCCACATTCCCAGCCGCCACCCACTGCCCGCTGGGCAGCACCCTTGACGGGGTCTACCCCACCCTCATGGAGCCCGTCCTGCTGTCCAAGGAAGCCCCGCGGGTCGCCCGGCCCGAGCGGCCCCGCGCGGACGCCGGCCACGCCTTCCTCGCCAAGCCCCTGGGCCGCGCGGGGCTGGAGCCCGCCTCGTCCCCCGGCAAGGGCTCCGAGCCCCGGGCCCTGGTGCCCCCCGGCTCCGGCCACGCGGCCATCGCCCGCGCCCCAGCGAAGAGCCTCGCGCCCCACCACGCCGGCCCGGACCCGCCAGCGCCGCCCGCCTCGGCCGCCGACCTGCACCGGGAAAAGACTCAAAGTAAACCCTTTTCCATCCAGGAATTGGAACTTCGTTCTCTGGGTAAGACCACTCTGACAGCGGCCACCTTCATAGACGCGATAATCATGCGTCAAATTGCTCACGATAAAGGGCCGCGAGGAGGTTCGCTGGCCGCCGACTCCCCTCGCGACGGTAAGACTTCCGGCCCCGCGCCCGCCCCCGTCTCGTGGCCTAAAGATATTGCCAGATCTCTGCTTTTTGTTTCTCCCCCATTTTTCGTTGGTTTTGGTATTTTGTTTTTAAACCCGTCTTCGTCAATTGCACGCTCTGATGACTTCCAGCTGCCGCCCCCCCCCCCCGATCTGGGGGCACCCCATCATTTGCACATTGTTTTATGATTTTTTTTTTTGGATTTTCGCTTTTTTTCCTTTAATGAATGGATCTGTGATTTTGACTTCGATTGCGCCTCCCATCCCCCCGTTGCATTTGGGGAGCAGGGAGCGGGGCTGCAGAGGGGCACAGGCTGGCACCTCTGCCCACTGTCGTGTGTGGATGAGTTTGGTTTGGAGGCCGCCCGTCCGCCCTCCCACGAGGCAGATGGTGCGGGAGAAGACGGGGAGGGGGAGCACCCCACTGCCCCGGGGAGCTGGGAGCCTGATTCCTGCGTCCTGCCCAGGTCGTGAGAGGTCTTGGGGATGCCCTGGCCCCGTGTCCCCTTGATGAGCCACCACCTCGCGTCCCCGGGGGAAAAGGGGAGTGGAGTCCTCCCACCTCCAGCCCCAGCTCAGGGCTCCTCTTTGCTGGACGCAGGGCTGTGGGGGCCTCTGGAACCCGAGTGTCACCTCCTGCCATACCCCCACTGACCTCACCCCCTCACGGCCCATCACTGCTGCCCCTGCACCCCCTTCCCCAGAGACTCGCCCCCCATGTCTGACTCGCGCCTCTCTCCCCGCAGCCCCCGCCATCTGGGTCTGTCTCTTGGTCCCTCTTCTGGTCGTGGTTCTCCGTCTCTCTCTATCTCTCTCGGCCTGTCTTCTGTGTGTCCCAGCCTCTGCGTTTTCTATCTTTCTCTCTCCCCTTCTCCCTCCCTCCCTCCCTCCCCCTCCCCACACAGCCCCCTCTCCCTCCTTTCTCAAGGTGCCCTCACCCCTGGCCGCCC